TTAACGTAGCCGATGATCAAAGGGACTTACAGCGGATTGTCTGGCGAAACTGCGATTCAGAACCTTTGCGCCATTATAGGTTAAACACCATTACTTATGGTACCGGCCCAGCTTCTTTTTTAGCAATTTGATGTTTACAACAGCTAGGAAACGAGAACATGGAGCAGTTACCAGATGCAAGCGACGCTATAATCAATGATTTTTATATGGACGATTTGATAACGGGAACGAGCACAGTGGAAGAAGCTATTAAAATTAAAGGCGAAATTACATCAATTTTAGCAGGCGCAGGATTTCAACTTCGAAAATGGTCATCGAATCACAAAGCAATTCTTAATCAATCGGACTCTAAACGCGAGGTAGATAAATATTATATTTCGGAAAGGGATGCCAAAACGTTAGGTTTAATGTGGGATACCGACTTGGACACAATCGGGTTTTCATTATCATATACCGCGAAGGAAAGTAAAATCACAAAACGATCTATCCTATCAATTGTTGCGAAAATTTTCGACCCTTTGGGTTTATTAGGTCCACTCACAATACGAATTAAAATAATATTACAACGTCTGTGGAAAAACAAATTAAGTTGGGATGAAGCGGTGCCCTGGGATATTTATATTGAATGGAAACGAATTTTAAACAATTTAGGCAATGTCGGTGATATAAAGCTACCAAGACAAGTAACCATTAAAAACTATGACGAATTGGAGCTACATGGATTCTGCGACGCTTCAGAGGAGGCTTATGGTTGTTGTGTATATATTCGTAGTATTGACAAAAATGGAAACATTAAATGCAATTTATTGTGCGCGAAATCCAGAGTAGCTCCTCTGAAACCTATAACAATTCCGAGATTAGAGTTATGCGGGGCAGTCTTATTAGCGAATTTGATGCGTAAAGTTATAAATTCCTTCAAAGCAAAATTTAGCAAAATTTGTTACTGGTGTGATTCTACAATCGTATTATCGTGGATCAATTCGGAGCCAGCTAACTTTCAAATCTTTGTTGCCAATCGCGTGAATGAAATTCAAAAATATAGCAATGCTTCACACTGGTACCATGTAAAAACGACCGAGAATCCTGCCGATTTGATTTCTCGAGGGTTAAGCCCGGAAATGCTTCGTATCAGTTCATTTTGGTGGGAGGGGCCGATGTGGCTTAAAGAAACAACGTACATATTACAAACAGTAAAAAAGATGAATGAATTACCGGAAACGCGAAACACTAATCATAAAACATTGTCACTTATTACCATTACGGAAGAATTAGAAATACTGAAAAAATATTCGAATATAATTAAATTACAACGCGTTCTAGCCTATTCATTACGATTCGTCAAAAACTTAAGCACTCACAAAAATGATAAACTAAAAGGAGAACTATCGGTCGATGAAATTAAATACGCGATGCGAAAACTGATTTTAGTTGTGCAAGCCCAATCATTCAAACGGGAAGTTGAATTAATAAAAAACGGGAAACGGCTATCAGGTGCTAGCCAAATTTTGTCACTAAATCCGTTCGTAGATAAAGATGGTATACTTCGCGTGGGGGGAAGGTTATCTAAATCTTCATTTAATATGCGACACAAACACCCTATAATTTTGCCTTCCAACAGCACATTAACGGATTTAATTATCGATCATGAACACAAACGAAATCTGCACATAGGTGTCGAAGGTACCCTATCGATTATACGTACTCAATTTTGGCCGATTCATGGACGCAGTACAGTAAAGAAAGTAATTCACAAATGCATTAAGTGTGCTAGATTCAGACGTAAGAATATAATACCCCTGATGGGAAATTTACCCCGCGAGCGACTTCAGCCTTCAAGGCCATTTTTACACACCGCGGTCGATTACGCCGGACCGTTTTTAATTAAAGATGGGAAAACCAGGAATCGTAAAATTATTAAAGCATATTTGTGCTTATTTGTATGTTTTGCGACCAAAGCGGTCCATTTGGAATTAGCTGGAGACCTAACAACGCTATCCTTCTTAAATGCCTTTAAAAGATTTGTTGGAAGAAGGGGGATTTGCAGCTCACTATATTCAGATAACGGCACCAATTTTGTCGGTGCTAATAGAGAGCTAAAAGGTATTATTAAATTATTAGATACATCTGAATTTTCTGATTATTTCAAACAATTAGATATTGACTGGAAATTCATTCCTAGTCGCTCACCTCATTTTGGAGGTTTTTATGAAGCGGCCATTAAATCGGCAAAGTCAATTTTGAAAAAGGTAGTAGGCAACGCCCACTTAACGTTTGAACAGTTGTCCACGGTATTTGTTCAAATTGAATCCGTACTAAATTCCCGGCCCATTACACCTATCTCCAATGATCCTAACGATTTACTGGCGTTGACGCCGGGACACTTTTTGATTGGAGACATCCCTCAAGAAAACGATTTTTACACACCGGAAAGACGATTAACCCATTACACAAGACTGAATCAAATGTTCCAACATTTCTGGAACAGGTGGAGCAAAGAGTACACCCACACCCTGCAAGCTAGGAGCAAGTGGAACTATCAACGCGAACCAATTCAAACTGGCACGATGGTACTGTTAAAGGGCGAATCAACACCTACATTATTGTGGCCGCTGGGGAGAGTCGTGGAGCTGCATCCTGGTAGCGATGGAACAACGAGAGTGGTAACAGTGCGAACCGGAAGTGGACTAGTCAAAAGAGCCGTCGCGAAACTGTGTGTGCTTCCTATTGACGTATAGCGAAATGTGCTAGTGAGAAATCAATCTGTGTGATGAATGATGATTAAGTAGGTTGTATCTACTTGTTAATATTTGTACAATAATTTAATAGTTGTATTTAGGTTTAAGCATTTGTATATTATTATTTGTATATTGTTGTGTAGTTAATGTATTGTATTACCGCATTGAAAGTAAGGTACTTTCAAGGGGGGGTGTATGTTAAAAATTTAACTTTCACTTTTATTGTTACTGCATTCCAAGCAGACTATATTGTTTAAACGTAACCTTAAGTTCTATTATTTGCATCCCAAGCCAGTAACCAGGTTCAGGTAAGGGACAGGAATTTGTATGATTCATGTATTTTTGTAATATAGCAGTCATTAGCAAGTTGACTTGCAAGCGATACAGTCCATTGCATTAAACGGAATTATTAATATTCGTATTTTTTATTCTTGAACTACTTGAACCAGTCTTTTTGTAACACACGATTCCTTGCTGTTACCTTGAAAATATTTTATTATTTCGCACCTAGGGGGAATAATTGTGTAATTAATGCAATTGGATATAAGTGAGACGCAATAGTTTACGTTTTTACACCAAAAAGACAATTTCCCGCTTTCGTAATCTATGTTTGCGGCATACTTGTGAAAGAAATCAGACCCTAGCACTGCATGTATGTCACCTCGGAATGCGCTGATAACGTGAAAATTGTGTGTCAAGCGGCACTCGCCCAAGGTTAATAAACATACCGCTGTTCCTAGCGAATTGATTGACCCACTTATTCCTTCAATAGTAATAGACCTATTTTTATTAATTTTTGTGTTTTTCGAAACGCCTTCAAAAATAACACTTAGAGATGCTCCCGTGTCAATTAAACAAACAAGCACCTGATCTTCAATTTTTACATTTACATAACTTAATCCATTCATACTAAAATTGCCAAATTGATTTGCCCTACTGCTACTATTGTGAACGAAAAAATCGTTCGCCTGCACCTGTGGAAGTTGACGCTTTACCGTCGTTTCCATGGTTTGCAAATTCCGCCATGTAAACCGCTTTTTGGGAACTACTACCTCTCCACTGTCTACCTTGAAATCTTCCTCTGCTTTGGTATCGACCTCTGTTCGGACGAAAAAACCGAAAACTATTTCCTCGGAAATTGTTAGTTTGCATACTGTTATTTAAATCTCTGTTACTAAAAGAATTATTGTAGGAATGATATCCTCTCCTATTAAAATTACCGCCATAATTCCGAGCATAATTCCTTGTACCTCTCATAATAAAACTTTGAAGATTTGGAGCGCCCTTTGAAACTTCCTCGTTTTTTGCCCCACTAATAGCATCGCTTAATTTATCATAATTTCTAGACTTGACTATGACTTTTACATCATTGTCACGCAGTCCATTAGCAAAGGTATTAATAGCTATTTCCTCATTGGTTTTTGCCAAAACTATTTCCCTATCCTTGCTACCGTCTGCTTGCGTTAATGTCAAATTTACCATAGCTTCCTCAATACTTTTACCAAACTCCTCTACGGATTTGTTTCTCTGCTTCAAACTATGCAGTTCAAAAGCCAGAACTGCGGCTGATTTTTTCGGCAATAAATTTGACCTTATCGCAGTAATTAAATCTGCGTTGCTAGCATACGTTGTCAACCGCTCCGCATCCGTGGGACACGCTGAAAGGGAAAAAGAAAACAAAACAAACACAAAGGAAAATCTGGACAAACACGTAGCCTGGTTACAGCGATGATCAAAGATCTGTTGCCGGCCGCTCGTCGGTGTAGGTCGAGGTCAAACTAAAAGTGTGCAAAAAAAAAATCCCAGGCGCCAGAAGCTGTATATAAGGTATCAAACAGATCGTGGATGGTTCTGCTTCCGCTTCCAAAGCAGACGAAACTGGCTGAAGTCAGACTCAAGAACACTAAATAGAAATAAAAGAAAGTAGGAGAGACGAAGTAGGCGAAGAAAGACAGGTGCACAATTTTTATTTATTCGGTAGTCAATATAAAGTTCTGAAGAGATAGGTTAATTAGGGGAAGTGATAAAATTGGTTTTTGTATTTCACGGGACAACAAAAATTAGGTGGTGCGAGAATTATACACGCACGAAATTATACCTGACGGCAACAAGAATAGTATAACAAAGGTTAGTGCCAGTAGACGTATACCGGTCAATGTTATTGATCAAAGTTAAGGTTTGCAGGTTGCCGTGGAAAGATCTTTCATCGAGACGTGCAATTATAGTGCTGCAGAGAGACAGAAGTTATTCAGATTTAGGTAACTCTTGTTTTAGTCTTACAAAAATTTAAATTAGTTGAAATGAATCACCGTGAAGCGGTAGTTGTATTGCACCTGACAGTTTTATACTTGAACTACAAAGGTAGTTGTCAAATATTAGTTTACACAAATTATAATTATAAACAGATTTTATTGAATAGATAGGTATGAGTGAGGTGAATGATTAAGGATATGAATGCATAACTGAGGACAAGAGATTACAGGGAGATAAGATAAGAGGAAAAAGATAAGAAGGAGTAAGGGAAGAGAAGAAAGGGAGTGAGTAACTTCAGGGGTAGTTTTGGGAGAGGTTGCTGACCTTTTGGTGTTTTAGTCGCCGATGGTTGTATAACTGAAGATGGTTCCTCGGAAGCTGGTATAACTCGGGGTAGGTACAACAATAGGTGTGCCTCGGCTTCGATAACCCTTGGTGCTATCCTGAAGTTCTGATAGAAGAAATAGAAGTGACGCTGACGAAGACGGAAGAATAGGTAGTGTCCAGTGACGTTCGATTAATTATATAAAATTGATTTCCAGAGAGAATAGAATGGCTAAAAGAATTTATGCCTAAATCCCGTGCAAGATGGTAATAAGTTGGCTTACCTCTACAGGTGTTGAACGAGCCTAAGTTTTATGCTGCCATGTGGTTAATGATCCGCATAACGCGTAAAACGCCAAATCACAATTGGAACAATTGAAATGTAAGTAAATAATAATTACGGCGTAAATGTAGCTTAAATTCTTGATAATCCTCACAGATGAGCCGGATAAAACCCAGTTAAGAATTTGTAGCTTCACCACATACAGACAAGTGTCTTACAATGCCACAGGAAGAATGAATTCGGGGAAAATCAAGAGAACTAGGGATTCCCCTTATCTATTAGGTAATACAAATAAGGAAACCGAAAGTTTCCTAAATTCAAATTGTATGACAAAGAAAGAAGACCTAGATAAGCTGAGAGAAAGAATAGGAAGATTTTTAAATGTGAACAGTTCGATTTTATCAGTAAGATTAAGATGTGAAATCACAGAAGAGAAAGGAACAATGAACTAGGAAATTGAAATGTTATAACCCGTAATTAATGGACAAGACATAAAGTAAAAACCCAAACCCAACCCACTATATTGCTCAATAAGCGAAACAATCCACCCCAAACAAATTAAAACCCAGGAAAATCCCCAATAAAAAAAATAGCCCAACCCCTGGAGCTGACAGAAAATAGAGTACTCCTGAAACCCGTCCCATAGAATAGAAAACAAGGAAAGATGAAGAGTGAAGAGCTCAGATAGAGGAGCGAAACTTACATTCGAAAGGAAAATGAAAGAAGTGAACGTAAGCCTCTAAGGTAGACCTGCCCTTAAAACATTCCCAACCTGCCGCCCGAATTGAATGTAAATTAAACCTAGATTCTGGAGAAAATATAGAAAATTAACCGTTACAACGTATTATTTAACCTCAATTTCGCGCTTTGAGATAATTTTGTTTTTAAGACAAATCTAGTTAATAGTAACTTCCCATTATCATCTAGCATGCTATCGTATACCTAATTCAATTGCATCAATTAAGGCTTTAGTAGTACCTTCTGTGCCATCCATACTTGGAAGCATAGAAGATGCCACTTTCAAATCAAATTTTTCACCCATTATATTACTAATCAATTTAGGATTGCCTAACGTTAACCTATCCTGCAATGTTGCATTTTACTTCATCAATCAGAGCATTAATAGAATTTATTAACGTTTGTGCTTCTGCTACGTAAGCCTTTCCTTTACCCTCAATTGCGTTAAACTGACCTTTCGCAACTTCCAAGTCAGCTCGAATATCATTTAATTCTATTAATTTTCTATTTGTGACTGCAACATCAGTGCGCCTATCTTTATTGTCCTTACGTAACTTCACTATAAAATCTTCTAACGTACTTTTGATATTTTTAAATGACCCTAACATTACATTAATTATTTAAACATATCTATATAACTTAACTTACACAAACTCTCCAAATATAATGTTTATTTCGTTACTCACACGTTGTCAAAACTTCTATCAAACGACCTGCATCTCCGTGGGACGTACTGCAAGCTGTTTTCGGACATACCGTTGGATCATCTTCCCTATGCAGCAGATCATGATCAGCAAAATTACAGCCACGCCAATAAAAGCGACCAATCCCAAAATCTCGTATGTGGATACCTGTGTGACTCCATTGGTTTGGCCTCCCGAATTTTCGGCTTGCGCAATGATGACTTCTTCCTTCGTTTGCGTGCCCCCCATTTTTCCAGTAATTTTTACTTACTTCATGTAGTTAATAGTTCGAAGGGCAGGATCGCCATGTGATAATTTCCTATTATCTTCTGTAAGGAAACACGGTCTATCTTCGACTACATTTATTGTTACACACTGCTCACTCGCTTTGACCTTACTTACAGTCTACTTGTAATCTACTCTACTTACAAATTAACCTACTTAGTTATTTATTGGGTGAAAATGCGGTGCCTGCAGTATTGTGTATTTTCGTAACATATGGCACCACAATTTGTTTTTATTAGAGATTATTTTAAATACCCATTTTGACATACCAGATCTATATATTACAGTGTCAGATTTGTGATATTTTGAGATCATTGTATTAAAGTATTAAACCACCCGCATTTATGACATCAAATATTGTTTATGTTTTTCCCCATAATTGTGCATTCCTTCGAGTTTAGTAAGACGAGAACAAGGATATCTAAGTTTGCCTAGTTTATCCCTTTAGTAAGTATTCCTTCCTCTCTCTCTCTCTCTCTCTCTAGACTAAGTGGCGCCTATCCGGATTACTTTTACTGTTTCCTCCCCTTTTTGGCTTATTTGTGTTTGTATAGAAGAACCCCATATTCATCCCGACCCACCTCTACTTTGCCTGAGCTTACCGTGTGCTTATCTAAGGTAATTTTGTCACGTTGGCCCAAAGTGAACGTACCAACATTTATGCCCTCAATCTCAAGCCTCGTGCAAAACGAATTAATTAATTTCCTTTGATACTCACTAATCCCCCCACATTGCAAAATTGCAATTTCCTTCCAAGCCTCCTTTATCAACGACGGAATTTGATTCAGCTGTACCGTAAAGAATGTCTCTTGAACCTGAGATTATCAAGTGCCAAATTGGCGATATCTAACCCAATCATCAATTAAAATGTCCCATGACACATCCTGAAACCTTATTTGGAGCGAAGTTGGCGTGTCGCTTGATGAAAATAATCACACTCAATCGTGGTCGGCCGAGGACGTTTTCAATTAGCACTATAACTGTGAACGGTTAACGCAAATAAATTTCTATGTGGGTAGACAAGGAGCGTTTACTAGCAACTTCTGACAAACAAAACTTACGTCTGTTTTCTCGTTTCATCAACGGCTCATTTAAGTATTATTATATTATGGCGAGTAACCGGATGGTGTGTGAGTTCTAGAATTAGTTGGATCAAGTCTGAGCACTCTCATTGTGGGGGATATAATTAAATTAGATCAAATTAGTCAATTAAGCGGTAAATGTCATTAGTAAAGGTAATTAACGGCGATACTGAACGTTGAAAAGTCCTCTACTTCACAAATTGCAATTTATTGACGTAGTCGATTGTGGGAATTTTGGCTCGGGTTTCTTTGTTTCTTTTCTTAGTGTTGGAGTGAATTTCTGGAGGCATCGGAACAGTTTGCTTCTTTAAATGTATTATTATTCCATCCATCAACTTTGCTTTTCTGCCACCACCTCAATGCGTGACACCAGCCCGTGCGTGAATATTTAAGCTGAAAATCGTGTGTATTATAAATTGCTGCTTACACTTTCAGGGATGTTGCCAAAGTGCATGTTTTGATTTCATAATTTATTTTCGAGTTCATAACTTTTCCCATCGTTGAAACAAATTTCATTATCGATTCCACGAGAGAGGAAGCACGAAAGTTGTTCAACGTTCATGGCTGTTTAAAAGTAATTTCGAAGTAAATTTAAGAACAGATTTAAGCCGACGGCGACGAGCCCGGTATTAAGGAATGGAACAAAATCAATTTTTTCGGATTAATCCGCATGTTTCAATCGCCATCGGAAGACATCACGCAGATTTCGAGTTCAAAAAAAAAAACGCCGGCAACCAAATAACAATATTAATAGACGTTGGAGATTCTATTAAAACAAATGCGACCCTAAAAGCGGAAAAGCTCGGCGAATCCATCTAGCATGAAAATAAGAAATGAAAATACTTTTCTCTCGACCTTTTGCGAACCCAGATAAAAGCGTTACAAAAGCTTCCAGAAATTGATAAATAGACTTCGCGTTCGCGTCTGCCGTATTCCGGCGCGGTCGCTTTTTGTTTTTGAAAAATTATTAAGGACAACTCTCACTTTGTATTGTGACGTTTCGGTTCCTTTGGAGCTCCATTACGACAAAGGGGGTTGCAAAGTGGAAACAGCTGTAAGGCTTCCTAAAGGATGGTGTAACGTCGGTTAATGTTTGAGTATAACAAGCTAAACTCTTTAAAGATTATTGCGGAGGTCTGCCTGCTGTAAATGATGATAAGGACAAACGTTTGCATTATTATTATTATTATTACACTGGAGATACGGTACACTACACACTACCTCGTCCGGTTTATGTAGCGGCAAAGTTACCGCACGCAGAGGGAATAAAAAGTAACGAAAAGATAAAAAATAAAGCAGTTATTTCCGTTGACTCGCCGCGTTCCTTTTGATTACAGCTACACGACTCGCCTTGTCTGCGTTCGAGTTAAAACCAACTTCCAAAGGTGCCTTTGTACTTTTACATAAAGCTCTACACTTCTAGAAGAAGAAAAAAAAATTTAGCAACTTTCCGAAACTTTGTACGTAACAAAAGGTTGAGATTCTAAGCACGTAAGTGTTATCGTGAGTGGATTTCACCTTTATTGATGAGAAATTTAAATTTTGGGTTATACTGCGTTCGTGCGCTGGCAGCATTTAAAGTTGCGCAATAAAGCGATTGCATTCGGATTAGTAGTGGTACCGTGGTTACAAATAATAGCACATTATCGTCTACTGGTCATATATCGTCGACTAGGCGCACAAGAGAATCACAAAGTACCAACAAATACGAAAAGTTCCCAGTAGCAAAGACATGTGTGTATGTAGGTGCGGAATGTAGTAATCGAGTATCCCGTCAACAACTTTAAAAGTTATGGAATATAAATGCGTGATCATTGTCGTCATGCAAAGAGCAGATTTTTGAATCCTTCAATGGATGGTTATCCATGAACGAAGCTTCAGTGCAGATTGGCCGTTTTGACACCATCCCGAAGTTAGTTTGATGATACAATGCCAATCAAAGATTCCTTGCCTAATTATCAAACAAAAGTGCTCCTTCAAGACTTCGATATCACAAGGCCCTATATAATCTAAAACTAGAAATAAGTATCCGGAAACGTTTATCCAAAACTGAAAACGTAATATTGGGAAGCAAGAAATTTCTTACTAAAAAACAAAACTATAAAATCTATATCGAACACCGACAGTGTTGGAAAATAACATCCGAAACTTTACACTGGGTACTGG